GGGGGGGGGGGGGGGGGGCTGCGGCGATTTTCTGGGCGAAGAAAGTAAGTTTGCGTGGTTGTAGGCAGCAGCTGTCTTTCTTGTTTTCATGCAGTAGAGACATGTAGGTGGAGGGGGAAGGAAGCGGACAGTACAGAAGGTTTTGGTGTTGAGGTGGCGTTTCGCTGCTTCACAAGCGAATCGCGTTGATGGGCGTCAAAACAGTTGCCAGGGTATTCACGTGCATAGAGCGCCGATGGTTATGGGGGAAGGGAGGTAGAAGGCGCAGGCACAGCTGGCAATAGTATCGTAACACCGAGATGGGGAGCTAGGTTTGGGAGATAATTTTTCAGAATGTTTGGAAGGTAAATGCGACTTGAACTTGCCTTGCGTCCGTCTTTTGAGGCTTGTGAATCTAACATTGTTACGGGTTTGTTGTTTTCCCGCTGCTGTTGACGCGCGGGAGGAAAGGAGTCGACGGTTCAGACGACACACAAGAAATAGGTATGATATTTGGCCACTCACGCCGTGCTGCGTAGACCCGTTTGGCGTGTTGTCCGACTCGCGTGTGTGTGTGTTGTGGCGGGGGATCGGTGTACGAGTACCCGAGGGTTGGGTACGTGGGTCATCGATCACCTCGTAGTCACCCTTTTTGACCCGCTCGCTTTGAGACGAAAGAAGGTACTGCTGCTGTACCACAGGACGTGTATTATTGTAATATTTTTTCAAGGTTCCCCAGCCCGAAAATCCTACTACTGCGTGTCGTCGTGCGGTCGGTGTGTTCTCCAATCTGCTTGTTGTTGTGTTGGTGGTGCGGCCTGGTCGAGGTACCTCGAGCGGTGTTTTTCGGCACGACTAGCCGTTGCTCGAACGAGAGCGACTGTCAGGTCAGGTCGGTGAGGTAATCTGCGACGAAGCGCAGCGAGCCTTGGGTGTTTTGTTGCGTGGACGAAGTGGGGTGCAGACAAGGGTTGCGAGTGCGCTGCCTGCCGCCGCCGCTGCTGCTGCCGTCGGTTGAGGGTCCCGAGAGAGAGAAGAGGGAAGAGAAGATGAGTTGAACATTGTCGACGTCTTTTTTTTTCTTTCTTGGTTCGGTGCGTGCGCGAATGGGAGCAAACATACTACGGCCATTTTCAGGTTGGTTCTTGGAGTTCGGTGCTGTTTGTTTTGTGGTTTGTGTGACTTGAGTAGAAACGGTGGCGACAAGGATAAGTGTTGGAGAGGCTTGTCTACAATGGCTTGGTGCGGACCCTCCCCCACTCGCGGGCTTGAGTTTTTCGTCGCGACGTTGAGCGTTCACGTGTCAAGGCCATATGTATCTCTTGTGCTTTGTTGCATCCTTGTCGTCACCGTCACCTTCATCGTGGTTGGTTGTACAGATCAGGAGGTTGCGCTAGTGGCAAGGCAGCATTTGTTTGTTTCCCCCCGATGAGCACGTTTGTTTGTTTGTAGCGGGAGGCTCCCGTTTTCATGCAAAGGCAGGTAGGGCAGCGCCCGCAAAGCACTGTCCGTTGAGTTGAAATGCATGCCGTGAGTGGGCGGAATGTGTTCACGCACGCACGCACGCACACGCATGCATGCTCCACTCTCCCACCCGCCCGCGCCATCTTCAATCCGATGCGTCGGACGGGTGGTTGCGTAGGCTGGACAGCAGTCTTGCTAGATACGGATAAGTGCTGTTTATATTCTTACAGGGTAGTCGAATCATCTTGCGTGAGGAGATAGCTGTGTTGTTCGCGCTGCCGCTAGAGAGTTGTGCATTTGCCGGCTAGTTGGCGGAAGCCATCTATTAATAGCCGGCTCCGAAATAAAGATTTTTTTCGGATGGACCTGAGAGAAGGGCAGCAATGGTAGAGGGCCAACAGTAGCAGCAGGTGGGAGACTGTGCTCCGAACTCGAGGCGATTGTTTATCCTGCGGATCACGGGCCTACGTCAAAAAGCCGAGGCAATTCCGATCAATAGCGTGGTACATGTAGATCAAGAACGTGCATATAGCGGGTGATGGGCAGGGGGAGAGGGGGAGTGACCCGGGTCGCATCAACGGCTGAGTGTGAGGTGATGATTGTCGCTGGTGTGCGGTCGTGCCTGCCCCTTCTTGACGTGTTTCTTGTCGTTTGTCGATCACCCTTTCTCGGCGTCTCCTGGGACGTTGCCTGTCAAAAACTTGTGATTTCCTCTCAGTTGATGGTTCTTACACCAGCGGCCGAGAGTCTATGTAGCGAAAAGAAAGCACACAATGGTTGGTCCCACAAGAGAGGGGGTTGGAATGAGAAGGGGACAAGCATGGTGGCGACTTTCTTGCTCTGTTTTCTCTGTCTCGTCCGTGTCCTCTGGCTTCACCAGTGCTTCTTAGTCATGGTTCTCCCAGACTTCACGAGAGAGAGAGACGGCGGGTCCGTTTAACAAGGTTGAACAGAATTGTAGGAGTGGCAACAGGTTAGGTCTGAACAGTGGGCAGGTGGGGGAAGCCGGGGGCCACTGGTGTTTGTTCTTGGCGTCCCCCCCCCCCCC